CCTTCCTTCCTTCCTTCCTTCCTTCCTTCCTTCCTTCCTTCCTTCCTTCCTTCCTTCAGACTTCAATCACCGAGCATGCAAAATTGAACTGACACCCTCAATAAACAGGGTTTCTCTCTGCCTAATTAGCACATTTCATTCCTTCTGGAGGAATTCCTTACACAGATGGGATTGCAGAATATAGCCCAAAGGTTCATAATCAAATGATCGGGTGTGTGGTGTGCACACTGCCATTGCTCCAGAAAGGGCATCGATGGAGGCTTAGGGAAAACCCTGGCTCCCTTCTTATTTTGTGGAGATAAAACTGACCATTCACACTTAATTCATAGTGATACTGTTTACTACAATGTGTCCATGGTATCTGCTGTAGTTTGGTTCAGGATCTCTGGCGGATACCAGATGCGCATTGTGCATGCACATTTGGTGATATGTTCAGTGGCTTAGTGTCAAAATTCACTACACAGGTCACATATCTCTTACATCCAACTCTGTCACAAATTCTACCTGATTCTATGGAGAAGGTCTTGTTTTGTGGAGTAAGAATTCATAAAGTTTTACAGGTATTATTATGTTCTGGATTCCCTTCCTCCAGGAATTGTCATTTCACTGTGAGACCCCCTCTCTTCCATGACCATTTAATGGTTGTTGGAGATCAAGGGGAGAATAGGAGAAACATCTGATTATTATGTCCCCAAAGTCAGACAGAAAAGGTATTATATCATCCACTAATATCCATTGGGGTCCTATGTAAAAGGGAAGTGATGTGTGCATAAGACATCAAGAGGCTACCAGGCATCAAAAATAATGGATCTCTATGGGTTGTTGTGGGTTTTTTCGGGCTGTATGGCCATGGGCTAGAGGCATTCTCTCCTGACATTTCGCCTGCATCTATGGCAAGCATCCTCAGAGGTAGTGAGGTACCTCAGAGGATGTTTGCCATAGATGCAGGCGAAATGTTCAGGAGAGAATGCCTCCAGACCATGGCCATACAGCCCGAAAAAAACTACAACAACCCAGTGATTCCGGCCATGACAGCCTTCGACAATACAATGGATCTCTATGTTGTGAAATAAGGAAGTCATTTTGGTTGTAACATCAAAGACTGAGATCTTTCCCAGAAACTGTGTAGCATACATTGTTACCTGAGGATATATACATGCTGTTTGTGTTATACGACCCTTGTATGGCAATGGTCCACAACTGGAAGCATAACCACATCTGCAGGCCAAATTCCATGCCTACAATGCTGAAGTGGATACGGAGGTTCTGCCTTAGAAAAATACATCATGCTAGAGGGAAAATTAAGCACATCTAAATTGGTGTAGTGGATTTGGAATTAGTGTGCCAGTAGTTGGGGATATTTTGCCATTTCTTCTGCCCTTGTGTCAGAAGAAGACAGAAGTTCATCAGGACTTGTCTTGTATTTTTGGATACCAGGGTTTGATCCCCTGCTCAGTCATGGATACCTACTCTTAGCCTTAGAAGTCACTCTGATAGGTTGACCTCAAGGTTACCATAATTTGGAATAACCTTGAAGGCACGCAACAACAGATCAATACTTGGATGGGAATACCAAGGTATTGTAGGCTGGTGATACTCAAAGTCGGGGTTTTTTAACTGTTTTGGACAGTTACCCAGAAACTCTGGCCAAGTTGCCTGGTACTTCTGGGAAATGAAGTGCAAACATCAAGAGAACCAAAGTTTGAGAACCATTTTCATAGACGATATCTCAGAAAAAGGCATCTAAGTCTGTCTTGTCTCCAAAACTTCTATGGAATGCACGGGGTCATCACAAGTTGACAGGCAACTTGGAGGCACATAGAGGCACACACATGTGATAGGAACAGGAATCTGGGCACTTTCTTCCAAGTTCTTGACACTCTCACCCCATCTGCTCTGGCCATATGCAAGTGTGATCAGTAGCAGCAGGGATGGCAGTTGGAGCTGAAAAGCCGTCTCTGCAAGGTCAGGATCGAAATAAATAAATAAGCGAGCAAGTGGGAGGGCTCGCTTCACCTTCTGCTTAAATCCAATTTAAATCACTCTCCCCAAGCCTAATCTATATCCATAATTATATCATTTGGTACAACAAGCCTGCGAGAGGTCCTATGAAATTTATGTAGATTAAAATTCATGGGTGCCATACTACGGATTCCGTATTATGAAGATTGATTAGGACAGCTGATGCAGTGATTAAAGAAGTGTGCGTTTACTGTTGTAATTAATTAGGCATTCAGACACAACAATAACTGCAATAACGGGAAGAAAGCGCTGAGCTGGCAGAAAATGGCAGCCCAGTCCTTGGCTTCTTTCAGGTCTCTCTCATTTGATTTCGTAAAGGGAACGGCCAAGACCCCATATTATGTTTGTGTGGTGCAAATCTACACTCATATACCTACACCGTGATTGCATCACACAATTTTCAGCTGAATGCCAACACAGTGCATCCAAGTGTGCATAGCTTTTAGTATGTCTGCTTATTATGTTGTTGTGCATTGCTATGTGGGAGACACAGGGATGTATTTTTTGCAATCCCAGTTAATCCCATGGTGCACTGAAGGCCCTGACATTTACTAATTTGTGCAAAATGGCAACAGCTGTGGAATTCTGCTAATGCTCACAATGACCATAAATCAAGAAATAGTTTTTTTAGATCTACAGAGACACTCGCTGGAACACTTCAGCAAGCAAGAGTCCAAAAGTGGCAGGCTCAAACCCAGCACCTCAATCCATCGGTGATACCAGATGAGAGACTCCCTCCTGGGCACACAGAAGACTGGGCGACTTAGAAGGCACTGAACAGACTGTGCTCTGGCACCACGAGATGCAGAGCCAATCTTAAGAAATGGGACCACAAAGTGGAATCTACGACATGCAAGTGCGGAGAAGAGCAAACCACTGACCACATGCTGCAACGCAACCTGAGGCCTGCTACATGCACAATGGAGGACCTTCTTATAGCAACACCAGAGGCACTCCAAGTGGCTAGCTACTGGTCAAAGGACATTTAATCAACTACCAAGTCTGCAAAATTTGTGTTTTTTTATCTTTGTTTGTTTTGTTCTATTAGAAATGTAATACAATGGTATGGTTGCTGATGACACGATAAATAAAAATAAATAAATAACAATGACCATAATACCCTGGCTGGAAAATTATAACTGCCTGCATTAAACGAACATGTGAGATTCCAATAAATTCCAGCCAGCGATCTGTGGGAAGATTCAAAGGTGCAGGAACTGGTCCATCCTCTTTCACTTTTAGGACAGGAAGAGCTTTCAAATTTATAGTACACCACTCAGAATTGTTTCCTAAAGTCAGCTTCTGATTGCTAAGAAGCTTTGCATCTTGCAAAATACCAATGTAGCACACTGGATGCAGGCAAATATTGCAGGGTGACCACACCATGGTACGCACTCAACATTGTATAACCTGTATTGTGATTGTGTGCATAGCATTGTGGTTTGCACACTTCTGCTGCCATCAGCAGGCATTGAGATTGGCACATTGTCTTTCTCTTAGGCGATCCCTCCTAGCTCGAGGATGACTGTCTTCCAGATGTGGCATCTTGGCAGTGGGTCTGCAGGTGGCTGTGGAACCCTATTCTTGATCCGCATGTTCTCCTGCAGTGTGGACGTCAGCTTCCAGGTGGAAGGTGGTCCCGGTCAGGGTTGGTTTGATGTGCCTTCCTCTTGACAGGACAGCTTGTCCTGGAGACTAGGACGCAATGGAGCAATGGCTTCAAACTACAGGAAAGGAGATTCCACCTGAACATTAGGAAGAACTTTGTGACTGTGAGAGCTGTTCAGCAGTGGAACTCTCTGCCCCAGAGTGTGGTGGAGGCTCCTTCTTTGGAGGATTTTAAGCAGAAGCTGGATGGCCACCTGTCAGGGGTGCTTTGGATGCAATTTTCCTGCTTCTTGGCAGGGGGTTAGACTGGATGGCCCACGAGGTCTCTTCCAACTCTGTGATTCTATGATTCTATGACCCGTTTCTCTCCCTTACCCTCCATTCGTGCCTTTTCAAATTCTGCAGCACTGCTGGTCACAGCTGACCTCCAGCTAGAGCGCTCAAGGGCTAGGGCTTCCCAGTCCTTGGTGTCTATGCTACAGTTTTTGAGGTTGGCTTTAAGCCCATCTGTCACATTGTATGCATTTAGGTTACTATCTAAATTCCAGCCAGAGAAAGCTGAAGGCTGACATCCTACATCAAGTAGAATGTAACTTTACATTCATGGCTTAATTATTTATTATTATTATTTATTTAAAGGTTTTATAACCCGGTCTTCTTGACCTCCAAAGAGGGACTCAGGCCGGTTCACAACAAAAGATTCACAAACAATAGTAGAAAACATCACACCTCATAATACACTAATACATAAAATACAGTAAAATACAATCATATAATTACATAAGGCCAAGTCGTCAGAATGAAATCACAATTCATCACCATCCGTCCATGTGGTCAAGAGTTATCGACTCACTCATCAAATGCTAAATTCCAAAGCCAAGTTTTCACCAGCTTTCTAAAAGTCAGGAGAGAAGGGGCAGTTCTAATCTCCAGGGGGAGAGAGTTCCAGAGCTGAGGGACCACCACCGAGAAGGCCCTGTCCCTCGTCCCCACCAGACGCTATTGTGAAGGTGGTGGGACCGAGAGCAGGGCCCCTCCAGAGGATCTTAACAACCTTGATGGTTCATAGGGGAGAATCCGTTCGGACAATTGTGCAATACTACCTTGCTCGTAAATTATGCAACTAAATGTCCAACTGAACATGAAATGCATGACTGCATTGTATACGTTGCATGCATAATAGCATTGCATATGCAAGACAATCTTATACGGAATGCTGTGTAAATGTCTGCCACTTCTGTAAATGAACTTATGCCCAAATGCATCCTTTAAAAATGCCACCTAGTTTCCAACTAAATGTTTCTATCAGGAGTGGAGAACTTCACCTGTTGAGATGTCGATGAGCCACAACTCCACCGACTTGGTCTTACCTGGGTAAGGATGGATGCCATTGGCAAAGACAGCTTCTGCGGCAGGTTGCCCATTAGCCTGTGGCGGTAGGCCAGTGAAACCGTTCACCCCAATGGGAGAGGGGATGCTAGGCACGGCTGGTGCGGTGATGCCTGGAGGCGTGCTGCCACCTAGAGGAGGGGAGGGGGAAAGACAAAGGAATACTGAAAGTTGGACCACTTGGTGAGTTGCATTGCCGGGTGAGTTTCTTGGCCCTGCCAAGCCGGGCCTATTTCATGTCAAGCTGACATTTCTGAGGGTTGATCACTCTCTGATATTGAATGTTTTTGCCTGTTCCTAAGGTACATGTGTATTTCAAAATAGATATAAAATTTAAGCAGTTTCCTAATGGAATTTGTAAATAATAATAATAAAACTTTATTTGTACCCCACTACCACCTCCCCAAGGGACTCGGTGCAGCTTACATGAGGCCAAGCCCACAGCACATCAATAAACAAAGGCAATAACAAATACTCAATACAAACAGTTAAAATAAAATAAAATAAATAAAACTCAAAATAAAAAATACACAATAGGCAATAAACAATAACAATAATAACATACAGCATTTAAAAACCTATGGCCGGGCCAAATGTAATAATTAAAATTTAAAATGCTGGACATGAACAAGGAGGTAAACTAGGATAGGGTTTTCAGAGAAAGATGAGGGTGCACAGACAATCCTAAATCAATATTAAAGTGCATTTGAGGACATATTGCTAAGAGTTTTCCTTATTCTGGGAACAACCATGTTTTCAGGCTCCTCCTAAAGACTGCCAGCGTTGGGGCATGTCTGATGTCCTTAGGGAGTGAATTCCAGAGTTGAGGGGCTACCACTGAGAAGGCCCTCTCCCTCGTCCCCACCAATCGCGCCTGTGACGCAGGTGGGAGCGTGAGCAGGGCCTCTCCAGATGATCGAAGAGATCGTGTGGGTTCGTACACAGAAATGTGGTCTGAATAATTCACATGCATGGTTCAAGCTATGTATAGATGAGAGCAGGGGCCCTCTAACTAAGGCCCGGGGGCTGGATACGACTAGGTGTGAATGTTTCATCTGATCACCTTGATTAGCATTTGATTGCTTGCCAATGGCTGGAGCAATCTTTTGTTGAGAGGTGATTAGATGTCCTTGTTTGTTTCCTCTCTGTTGTTGTACTCTTCTAATTTTAGAGTTTTTGCTGGACTACTCCAACAACCACCATGTCGGACTACACAGAGAAGCCATTGAAATCCACAAGCATGTGGACAATTTGAACAGAAAGGAGGAAACCATGAAAATGAACAAAATCTGGCTACCAATATTAAAAAACTCTAAAATTAGAACAGCACAACATCAGAGGGGAAACAAACAAGGACATCTAATCACCTCTCAACAAAAGATTTCCCCAGGCACTGCCAGGCCATCAAATGCTAATCAAGGTGATCAGTTGAAACATTCACACCTAGCTCCAACAGACAAGAGTCCTTTGTCCCACTCTGGTCATTCCACAGAAATATAAACCCTTTTTCCTAGTTCCAACAGACCTCACTACCCCTGAGGATGCTTGCCATAGATGCAGGCGAAATGTCAGGAGAAAATGCCTTTAGAACATGGCCATATAGCCTGAAAAAACCTACAACAACCCAGTGATTCCGGCCATGAAAGCCTTTGACATTATTATTATTGTTTGCATTTGCCTGCATGGCAGAAGGGGTTTTGGTTAGATGACCCTCAAGGTCCCTTCAGAAGATTCTGTACTTTTTGTACTTTTCATGGCTATGTAGTAGAAAAAATGTCAGCAGGTGATGTTTGCCACTTGATTTTGTGACAAACAACACCTGCTTGAATTCTACACTGCCATGAAAAGTACAAGAGTCCTCTCGGGTCTGCAGTCTGGCAACTTTATGTATACAGGGCCCTTTTCAAAATAGGAAGTGTGAAGTTGGATAATTTTCTGCCAAATGAAGGTTACTACAGGCCTCAGACATGACCCTCTCTAACACTCCCCAAACACTGCAACATTGCCAATTGCATCCATCTTCCTCAATTTTAGGCTCTTATTGGGCATTTTAGAACCTAGGTCTCCAAACTGAAAGGGATATGAGGAATTTAGAGTCAGAAATTCTAGTTCTGACTATCAGAATCTCACACATCTGTGTGGGATTCTGCCTGGAACAGAATCATAGTTGGAAGAGACCTCCTTCTTTGGAAGCTTTTAAACAGAGGCTGGATGGCCATCTATCAGGGGTGATTTGAATGCAACATTCCTGCTTCTTGGCAGAATGGGGTTGGACTGGATGGCCCATGAGGTCTCTTCCAACTCTTTGATTCTATGATTCGTGGGCCATCCAGTCCAACCCTCTGCCAAGAAGCAGGAAAATCGCATTCAAAGCATCTGTGCACTAGATGTCACATTCAAGAAAGGAAGACACATAGAAATGTCACCTCCATAGATTTTCTTGGTTTCTACCTCAGTTTCCATGGACTTTACAAGAGTACATTCAACACATAAAAATGTATGTGGGCCCCAATTTGAATGTGCCTTTCTAAATGGGGATAGCAAGCAACTCTGGGAGTTGAATGAATGTATCTAGGGCTGGCTAGAAAGAGAGGGGACAAGCCCAATTCCTAACCATCAACCAGCTTAGATCAGGCATGCAGAAGACTTTTGACAGCCTATGTTTGGAAAGAGAGATGCCAATTCAGCTTTCAATGATGAAATAGGACATCTTTTTCTGAATTGTAAAGGAGTTGTCCATGGTGCTGAACACTACTTCCACAAGAGATTCAGCAGTTTGGTCAGCTCCTTCCAAGTGTTCACTGTCCTAGAGTCACCAGCTATTGTTATTGAAGCACTTTACTTTACCTGTTAGTGCAATTAAACCCTACTTCGTCCCTTGGATCCCCTGTCCAGATACATTACGCTGCTCTCTCATCCAGTTTTTTTGAACTTTTGATCTCTGCAACCAGCCCTGCCCACTGTGATCAACTTTCTGTGTTCAAATATTATGATTTTATATTGTTCTGATGTGTTTATTTATACAGTTTCTTGTACTTTATCTTATTTTCTTATATTTTATTGTTGTATTTTTATGCTGTACTAGCCGTCCCCTGCCATGCATTGCTTTGGCCCAGTCTGGTGACCTGGAAAATAAAGTAACGGGAAAGTGTTGGTTTCTAATATATGGAATTTCTCTATCCTCATGGGTAAACAGTATTTCTTGTTCCTTTGTCAGTGCTGATGTAAAGATTGTCTGATTTCCCTATTCTGGAACATGCAACATATAATTGTCCTTCTTTAGGGGTCCTTTTCAAATCTATGGTACTATATCTGTCATAAACATGTGTGTGTGTGAATCATATATATTTATCTATATCTATGGCTGGATGGCTCTTTGTCAGGAGGGATTTATGTTTTCTTGCCCTGGTGAAGGGAATTGGACTGGATGGCTTTAAGGCAGCATTTCTCAACCTTGGATTTGATACCCCCAGGGGTAGGGTGTTGTGAGCGGGTGTCAGAAGGGTCACCAAAGACCACCAGAAAACACAGTATTTTCTGTTGGTCATGGGGGTTCTGTGTGGGAAGTTTGCCCCAATTCTGTCGTTGGTGGGGTTCAGAATGCTCCTTGATTGTAGGTGAACTATAAATCCCAGTAACTACAACTCCCAAATGTCAAAGTCTATTTCCCCCAAACTCCATCTGTATGTATATTTGGGCATATTGAGTATTCGTGCCAAGTTTGGTCCAGATCCATCATTGTTTGAGTCCACAGTGCTCTCTGGATGGAGGTGAACTACAACTCTCAAATTTAAAATCAATGCCCACCAAACCCTTCCAGTATTTTCTGTTAGTCATGGGAGTCCTGTGTGCCAAATTTGGTTCAATTCCATCATTGGTGGAGTTCTGAATGCTCTTTGATTATAGGTAAACTATAAATTCCAGCAACTACAACTCCCAAACTTAAAATCAATGCCCACCAAACCCTTCCAGTATTTTGTGTTGGTCATGGGAGTCCTGTGTGCCAAGTTTGGTTCAATTCCATCGTTGGTGGAGTTATGAATGCCCTTTGATTATAGATGAAGTATAAATCCCAGCAACTACAACTCCCAAATGACAAAATTATAATTTTTGAGTGATGGTCACTCCTTGTGTTGTGAGATGTTTTGTTGCCAAATTTGGTGTGATTTCGTTCATTGGTTCTTTTGTTTTTAAGATACTCATTACGCACAGAGCATTTATATATATATATATAGATATTTGCATTGTTATATTGCTGGGCTTGGCCTCATGTAAACCGCCCCGAGTCCCCTTGGGGAGATGGTGGCGGGGTATAAATAAAGTTTTTTAAAATTATTATTATTAGTAGTACAACCAGTTGTCCTTGGAACCAAGATGTCCATCCTGAGATCTGTCAAACCTTGTAAGCCAAGAAAGCTTTGGGTGACACTGAATCATCCAACCTTTTGAAAAGAGGTGTAGTGCAATGGAAATGGGATCCAAAGTATTACATTAGTGCCCATGGTAGGGTAAGGGGATGGTCCTTACCGGAGGTGGGCGTCATGGGTGTGGCGGCCAGGCCGTTCATGTTGAGAGCTGCCATCTGCTGCATCTGAGCTGCTGCGAAAGCGGCCATGGGGTTTAGGTATCCTCCTTGAGCCACGGATGCCATGATGGCCGCCTGTTGCTGCATCAGCTGGAACAAAGAGAACAGGGAAAAAGTATCGCGCATTCACAGGCAAGGTTGCCCCATGCCCTCCAACATCTCACAGAGGAAGGCCAAATGGCAGCAAAGCTGAGTCAAGAGAGCAAGAGCCATTGATTAGTAAGAGCAGACAAGCTAGGAGAGGCGGCAACAGCTTGCTTTTCCTGGGCTGACTGGGAAGGGAAAGATTCTGTCTCCTTCTCTTCCCAACACTTGAGATAATAATAATAATAATAATAATAATAATAATAATAATAATATACAAGCAGAGGCATAACACTGTTGCTCAGATGATTCATTGGAACTTGTGCCACAAATACCATCTGTCTGCAACAAAGAACTGGTGGGATCACAAGCTTGAAAAAGTTACAGAAAATGAACACGTCAAACTACTCTGGGACTTCCGAATTCAGACACGCAGAGTTTTGCAGCACAATACTTCTGACCTCACAATCGTGTTAAAAAACAAAGTATGGATTGTCAATATTGCAATCCCAGGCGACAGCAGGATTGAAGAGAAACAACTGGAAAAGTTGACATGATATGAGGATTTAAAGATTGAACTGCAAAGACTCTGGCACAAGCCAGTCAAGGCGGTCCCAGTGGTGATCGGCACACTGGGTGCAGTGCCTAAAAACCTTGGCCTGCACTTAAACACAATTGGCACTGACAAGATTACCATCTGCCAGCTGCAAAAGGCCACTTTACTGGGATCTGCACACATTATTTGCCGATGCATCACACAGTCCTAGACCCTTGGGAAGTGTCCGATGTGTGATCCGATACAACAGCCAGCAGAGTGACCTTGTCTGCTGTGGACTCATCTTGTTGTGTTTCTAATAATAATAATAATAATAATAATAATAATAATAATGATGATGATGATGATGATGATGATGATGATGATGACATGATATGAGGATTTAAAGATTGAACTGCACAGACTCTGGCACAAGCCAGTCAAGGTGGTCCCAGTGGTGATTGGCACACTGGGTGCAGAGCCTAAAGACCTTGGCCTGCACTTAAACACAATTGGTGCTGACAAGATTACCATCTGCCATCTGAAAAAGGCCACCTTGCTGGGATCTGCACACATTATTTGCTGATACATCACAGTCTTAGACAATTGGGAAGTGCCCGACGTGTGATCCAATACAACAGCCAGCAGAGTGGCCTTTTCTGCTGGGGACTCATCTTGTTGTGTTTCAAATAATAATAATAATAATAATAATAATAATAATAATAATAATAATAATGACATGATATGGGGATTTAAAGATTGAACTGCAAAGACTCTGGCACAAGCCAGTCAAGGCGGTCCCAGTGGTAATTGGCATGCTGGGTGCAGTGCCTAAAGACCTTGGCCTGCACTTAAACACAATCGGCGCTGACAAGATTACCATCTGCCAGCTGCAAAAGGCCACCTTACTGGGATCTGCACACATTATTTGCTGATACATCACACAGTCCTAGACACTTGGGAAGTGTCCGACGTGTGAACCAATACAACAGCCAGCAGAGTGACCTTTTCTGCTGGGGACTCATCTTGTTGTGTTTCAAATAATAATAATAATAATAATAGTGATCTTGTTTGCTGTGGGCTCATCTTGTTGTGTTTCAAATAATAATAATAATAATAATAATAATAATAATAATAATAATAATAATAATAATACATCACACAGTCCTAGACACTTGGGAAGCATCTGACTTGTGATCCAATGCAACAGCCAGCGGAGTGATCTTGTCTGCTGTGGACTCATCTTGTTGTGTTTCAAATAATAATAATAATAATATCCGGCACAGTCTGGTTTCAGACCGGGACATGGAACGAGACGGTCTTGGTCGCCTTAGTGGATGATCTGCGCCGGGAGCTAGACAGGGGGAGTGTGTCCCTGTTGGTGCTCCTGGACCTCTCAGCGGCCTTCGATACCGTCGACCACGGTATCCTTCTGGGGCGCCTTGCGGAAATGGGTCTTGGGGGCACTGCTCTGCAGTGGCTCCAGTCATTTCTGGAGGGCCGCACCCAGAAGGTGTTATTGGGGGACTCCTGTTCAACACCACAGCCTTTGACCTGTGGGGTTCCACAGGGCTCTATACTGTCCCCCATGCTGTTTAATATCTACATGAAGCCGCTGGGTGAGATCATCCGGAGTTTCGGGGTGCGGTGTCATCTGTACGCAGATGATGTCCAACTCTGTCACTCCTTTCCACCTGCTACTAAGGAGGCTGTCGAGGTCCTGAACCGGTGCCTGGCCGCTGTAAGGATCTGGATGAGGGCGAACAAACTGAAATTAAATCCAGACAAGACAGAGGTACTCCTGGTCAGTCAAAGGCCGAACAGGGTATAGGGTTACAGCCTGTGCTGGACGGGGTCGCACTCCCCTTGAAGGCGCAGGTTCGCAGCTTGGGTGTGACCCTGGATTCATCATTGAGCCTGGATCCCCAGGTTTCAGCGGTGACCAGGGGAGCATTCGCACAGCTTAGGCTCGTGCGCCAGCTGTGCCCGTACCTTGGGAAGTCTGACTTGGCCATGGTGGTACACGCTCTGGTCACATCCCGCCTTGACTACTGCAACGCTCTCTACGTGGGGCTGCCCTTAAAGACGGCCCGGAAACTTCAGCTAGTTCAGCGCGCGGCAGCCATGTTACTAACAGGAGCGGGACGCAGGGAGCATACAACGCCCTTGCTGTTCCAGCTCCACTGGCTGCCGATTTGCTACCGGGCCCAATTTAAGGTGCTGGTGCTATCCTACAAAGCCCTAAACGGTTCCGGCCCAAAATACCTTTCGGACCGCATCTTGGCCTATGAGCCCACGAGGACCTTGAGATCGTCTGGGGAGGCCCTTCTCTCGATCCCGCCTGCTTCACAGGCACGTCTGGCGGGGACGAGAGAAAGGGCCTTCTCGGTGGTGGCCCCCCGGCTGTGGAACGACCTCCCTGCTGACATCAGACAGGCGCCTTCCCTTCTGTCCTTCCGAAAGAGCCTGAAGACCTGGCTATTTGAGAAGGCATTCAACTGAGCGCTACGGCAACTGGTAATTGACAACTGGAACGGAATACGGATTACGATATTGGTTATGATTCTATGATGTGACGGAGCGGATTATTTAGTGTAACTAGATTATAGTGTATTATTGTTGTATTGATTCCCTGTTTTGCCCTTTTTGTAAACTGTTTTTATATGTTGTGCACCGCCGCGAGTCGCCCTAGGGCTGAGAGCGGCGGTCAATAAATGCAGTAAATAAATAAATAAATAAATAAATAAATAAATAACATCATGCAATAACAATAATACTATTTAGTTAAGAGAATGCAAGACTCTTCATTGAAAGGCAATGCTAGAAATCCGGACAAACTGTCAACACCTCAAAGGTCTCTCTCTAATCGCCTATATAAAGGCTTACATTCCATTTGCTGCTAGGATCATCTCCTCATGTAACTTAGACCTTTCCTTCTTTCCTAAGATCTTGGGGGCAATTAACATTTCATTGTCACCTGATTACCCTTTGAGTTTCCATCAGGTTTTTTTTTTTCAGTGTTAGGAGCAACTTGAAAAACTGCAAGTCGCTTCTGGTGTGAGAGAATTGGCTGTCTGCAAGGACGTTGCCCAGGGGATGCCCAGATGTTTTAATGTTTTACCATCTTTGTGGGTGGCTTCTCTCAGGTCCCCACATGGGAAGCTTGAGCTGACAGAGACAACTCAGTGGCTTGTTGTAGGTTTTTTCGGGCTATATGGCCATGGTCTAGAGGCATTCTCTCCTGACGTTTCACCTGCATCTACGGCAAGCATCCTCAGAGGTAGAGAGAGCTCATCCGCACTCTCCCCGGAGTCGAACCTCTGACCTATTGGTATTCAGTCCTGCCGGCACAAGGGTTTAACCCATTGCACCACCGGGGGTTCCTTCCACTAGGTGGTCTTTATAAATGCACAACAAATGGTATCACAACAACCAACACGTATCCACATTTGGTCCCCAATGACATTGGTTTCAAGTCAACAGCAAACGACTGTTGTACTTTGGAATCATTTTGCAACAAGAAAAGTAATCTCAGGACAAAGGGGGAAATTGGGAGGAGGAGAGGACAACTGGACCTGTGTCCTTCTATGAGAACTTCCAGTTTCATTGGAATTGGAATAGTAGACCCCTGGCCTCATTTAACAAAGTTCTTCCTGTCACTCTTTATGTTCTTGGCCTTCCATTTTTATATCATGGGAATCCCCTAATTTTTTATGAGGACAATAACTACACTGGTAGTTTTATGTTTGGGAGAAGAGCAAATCCTCATGGCTTTTATCTCTGTTTTATTTCTTGTGATGTTGCCTCCTAGTGGGGATGTTTGGAATTTACAAAATCTGGAAGTGCGGGCTTTGATGCCGAAGGTCTGCTTTTGGTAACAACTTCGTAGATAAAGAGATTGAGAGATCTCGAGAGTCTGAATGCATTTTGTTACACTCTGGTTGGCCTAACTATTAGTTTCTGGGCAAGGTGCAAAGTGTTGCCTATGTAGTCAAAGTTCTATATAATACATTTGCAAACTTGGGCCCGCCAGGTGTTTTGGACTTCAACTCCCACAATTCCTAACAGCCTACCGGACAAAAAGTGAGGTGAAATCTTCTGAAGAGGGGCACAGATAGCAAAGGAAACTCCACAGGAGTATCAACACTTCCCTATGTGATACAAGGCTATTATATATATGGATAGAGCTACACTAAAAATATGTACCTGTTCTGACTTACATACAAATTCAACTTTGGAACAAACCAACAGAACCTATCAGGTTTGTAACTTGGGGACTGCCTGTAAATTAAATGGCTCTAATAACTGCGTATAACACATTCGTCAGAATTCTGTTGCTGTATTGTGCAATATGTAAGATTCCTTGCAGAAATGGTTGGACATTTTTTTGTTCAATACAGGTTATCTGTATTCAGTTCAAGAATACAGAAGTGAAGTTCTGTATGAAAGGCAGATGCACACAGATGTGCAT